AATCTTAATAAAAGTAAAGGAGTTCAAGGACAGCAAAAGTGGAGAGGGTTTCTGGAATGCATGTGAGATAAAATATGACTGGCAGGTGGCACACATCTTTAATCCTGCACTTGGGAGGCAGAAACAGAGAGCTCTCTGAAAGTTGGAGGCCAGTCTGGTCTACATAGCACATTCCTGGCCTATAAGTAAGACCCTGTCTCTAAAGATCAGTATGTGTAGAATTAAAATGAATACATTATTTTTAAATTATGAAAATATCTGTTGTAGTCAACAAGGCTGAAAGGAGTTGGGGATCCAAAGAGCACTTTGACATCAGACATGGAGATGCTGAGTCTGGAGTTTGCCCAGCTGGTTTTCGGTCTTGCTTTGGTTCAGTATTTCCTCACTGTGCTCCCTTTGGAATTGTAATGTATATCCTGTGCCATTAAATGTTGGAAGTATGTGATGTGCTTTTTCATTTTGATTTTACAGAGGATTACAGTTAAAAGATTGCATGAGTCTAAGAAGAGACTTTGAACTTTGGACTTTGAAACATTGTTGAGACTGTGATAGACTGTGGGGACTTCTGAAGATGGACTGAATGTGTTTTCCATTACGGTATGGTCACAAGCCTGTGGGGGCCAGGGAGTGGAATGTGGTGATGTGAATAGGTATGGGCACAGGGAGTGGCACTATTAGAAGGTGTGGGGCTTGTTGGAGTGGCTATGGCCTTGTTGGAGGAAGTGTGTCACTGTGGGGTGGGATCTGAGGTCTCAGATGCTCAAGCTAGGCCTAGTGAGGCAACAGTGTCCTTCTGCTGCCTGAGGATCAAGATGTAGAACTCTCAGCTCCTTCTCCAGCACCACGTCTGCCTGCACACCGCCATGTCCCACCATGACGATAATGGACTAAAACCTCTGAAACTGTACGCCATTTAAATGTTTTCCTTTATAAAAGTTGCCATGGTCATGGTGTGTCTTCACAGCAATAGAAACCTGAACTAAGACACTATCTAACGCTTAACAGAAAACACAAGAACATACCAGAGACCAGGTCCATCTCCTTGGTAATGAGGAAGGAGCCAAACAAAATGACAAGTGACTGACACTACCTATTAGGCAAACAGACCAGGGCAAGCACTGATGACTACACAGAACAAACATAGCTCAGCATGAATGAAAGAGGTCAGCTAACGGGCTGTATCTAGACTTCCGTAACTAGAGCGCAGCACCTTTTTTTTTTTTTTTTTGGTTTTTTTTTTTTTTTCTTGAGACAGGGTTTCTCTGTGTTGCTTTGGAGCCTCTCCTGGAACTCACTCTGTAGCCCAGGCTGGCACACACAAACACTAAGTAAATAAAGGTCTAAAAACATCCCCCCTAAGGGCATGCTGGCCCTGGGCAGCAGAAACTGAGTAGGCCTGAACAGGACCAAAATGCTGTGAGAGTAAGGAAGGCAGCTGGCCTGAGATTTCAGACTTCCCTTGTGGCTAAGGGTGAGCGAGGGAAGAGGTCAGGTGTAGGAGCAGAGGCTTGCAAATACTGAATGCCCAGCCCCCAACAAAGGATGGAGTGTGTATGCTTCCTGCTGCTTTATCCAGATGTGGTGAAGAAACATAAGCCATTAGGGGACCCTCCTTTCCATCCTCAGCATAGGAAGGAAGATAGGACGGATGATGGACAGACAGACAGAAGATGAACAGACTGAAGTCCTATTTCAGTATCTGTGAGATCTGATTACAGGAACCCCCAAGATGCAGATGTTGAAGGCTTTTATAAAAACTGTATAGTATTTGCAGGCTGGGGGTCAGCTCAGCTGATGAAGCTTGTCTGTGTGACACCCTGGATTCCATCCCAGGACTACACAAACTGGGCATGGTGGCAACCTGTAATCCCAGAACTCAAGAGTAAAGGCAGAGAGATTCCAAATTCAAGACCAGTCTTAGATACATATCCAGTTTGAGGCTAGCCTGGGCTACATGAGAACCTGCTTTAAAAAAAAAGTTGTATAGTTTTGCATATAACTTATGTATGCTGCCCTCCTGTATACCGAAATCACTTCTAGGTGTCTTATAATGCCTAATAAAATGTGAATGTATATAGAGTTTTTATAGCAGATTGCTTATGGTTTAATGACAGGAACAAAGTCTGCACATACTCAGATTAAAGATGCAATAATGAAAACCTCTCGCCATCATCAGGTTTCCATCCCCTTCCATATTTTGTGTTGGAAATATCTCTAGTGCAAGCGCTTGAAGAGGGAGACCTTATGCAGTGGGCGAGCAAGCCACGAGAGCACACTGGGCAGTGGGGCACCAAGCTATTCTAAAGCGGCCAGAGAGAAGCGGGCAGGACTCTACCTTCTTACCACTCCCTGAGAGGACACTAAGGGCCACCTTAGACATGGATGGGGCTTCCAGCAGACACTTAAACTGCCAGCTCAACTGTACGGAAGAGAGTTCTGCTATTTATGTATTACCCACTCTTAGGTATTTAATGTAGCAACACAAAAATGACAAGCCTTACACACACAAAATTAAAATCCCGGCACCAATTTCACTTTTAAATGTTTTTTATTAAGTACTTTAAGAAAAAAATTGCCAGCATTACATTACAATTTTTTTTTCAAAATAATGAAAGGGGATTGAATGCAGGCCTTCATACATGCCAGGAAGTATACTCCCCCTGGGCTATATATGTACCACTGTGAGAGTAAATCCACAAAGGCAAAATTATCCTCATCAATCTATGCCTGATATCCCACCACTCAGGAGCCTGAGGCAGGAAGATCACCAGTCTAAGGTAGGCCAGGCCTACATAGCAAGACCTTGTCTCAAAATTACCCAGGTGCCACCCCAGCATGGCCACAAGCTTAAAAAGACTGAAGAAGGATCGTCCCGGGGTGGGAGAGACGGCTCGAACGGCAGCCTGCCTGTAACTCCAGCGCCCTCTTCTGGTCTCCTCGGGCACAAACAAAAACCAAAGTACCGTGACTCTAGAACGACCCAGTGACGTGGCGTGTGCAAAGGGGCAGAGGAGCCGGTACTAAACCACACAAACACAGCCCGTTGTTCTGTGACGGGAGCCAAGGCCATCCAACAGAGCTGGACAGCGTGAACTGTGCCAGAAGCCCTGGTCTGTGCACGCACAGAAGCAAATGGCAGCCGGTGTGATAGGGAGCGCGCACACCAGCACTCAGGAGGATGAGAAAGCAGGACCACCGTGAGGTCAAGGCCATCATGGACTGACTACCTGCGGAGCTCCAGAGCCGGACTCTAGAGCGAGACCCTGCCCCCAAAACAAAAACAAAAAAGAAAAGGAAATTAGATGGAAATCTTACAACTGCCACCAATTAACTCAAAAATGTATCTAAACCTTCATTGTAAAAGGCAAAACTGAAAATAGAACACAAAAGTAGAAAAACCAAGGGACCTCAGATTTGGCAATGAAGTGTCAGAATGTGCACAAAAGTGTGATCCATGAGTGTGCAAATACATTAAAATAAAATTTCTGCTCTGCCATATAAGCAGAAACGTAAGAGAAACACAACTGCACATTTACAAAATATGTATTTGACAAAAATACTGACATCAAACTCTGGAAACTGAAAGAGACCGATGTGGCAGAACACGTCTGTCTTTCATCCTGGTACTCGGAAGGCAGAAGCAGACAGTAAACCTGAGCCTGGCGGCGGTGGTGGCACACATCTCTAATCCCAGCACCCGGGAAGCAGAAGCAGGTGGATCTCTGAGTTCAAGGCCAGCCTGGTCTACAGAGAGAGTTCCAGGACAGCCAGGGCTACACAGAGAAACTCTATCTCAAAAAAAATTTAACCTCATTTTATGTATATGACTATTTGCCTGCATGAAGGCTTGTGCACCATGTGTGTCCTGGTGTCCTGGATCAGACAGAGCATCAGCTCCCCTGGAACTGGAGTTACAGACATTTGTGACACACCGTGTAGGTCTAAGAATCAAATGAAGGTCCTCTGGAAGAGCAGCCTATGCTCTTAAAAATCCTGAGCCACAGCTCCAGCCCCAGACAGATCCCTTTAGTCCGAGGCTCACTTGATCTACATAGGAATTCCAAGCCAGCCAAGGCTGTATAGTGAGACCCTCAAAATAAATAAATTAAAACTGAACAAGAAAATAATTAATCAATTAAAAAAGAAAAGTAATCATCAAACTATGGGGAAATGGGTCTCACTCATGGAGTTCCAGAGATTGGATGGGCTCATGCAAGGAGCTCAGTATCGGGTGAGCTGATATTTGGAAAGCACACATCAAAACCAATGTGGTGCAGTCATATACCTAGTATAGTGGCTAAATCCAAAGCCTGAAACCACATGCTAACAAAATCATACAGCACAGAAACGCCCACTGTTGGTGTGACCAAAAAAAAAAAAAAAGAGCCACTTTAGAAGACAGCCTGGCAAGCTCTTACAAAAAGAAATATGGCCTTATAACACAGCAAGGTATTTGCCTAAATGAGCTGAGAATTCTCTCCCTAAGGTGAGACTACGCAAATAATCAGTTTGACAATGTAGCATAAAGGTCACAGGGCTGACAATGGCGTTGATTAGGAGAAGGTAAACTGAGGCATGGGAACATGGGAAAAGGCATCGAGTACTCAAAAAACCACGGGGGAGGCCAGGCATGGTGGTGCACATCTTTAATCGCAGCTCTCATGAGGCAGAGACAGGAGGATCTCTGTGAGTTCAAGGACAGCCTGGTCTACAGAGTGCGTTCCAGGCCAGCTAGGGTTATGTAGAGAGACCCTGCTGTCTCCAAATAAATAAACAGAGGGGAAGCAGACTCCACCGAGGAGAGGCCGAGAACACCAGGGACCGCGGCTCTCCCCTCCGCGAACCCACAGAAGCAGGTGTGTAGACGCGCGCGGTCCGAGTGGCCAGACCGAGCTGGGAAGAGCAGCACCCCGGAGTCCGCAAGGACGCGGGCTGCACCGCGGAGCCGACGCCAGGTGGCCCGGACCTGCCCGCGCCTCCGGGTTCCGCCGCGAACTCACCATTTCTGGCTTACTGGGCGTCCGGGAGTCCGCGGAGGACGCCGGGATCGGTATGCGCAGGGTGAAGGCGGCTGCGCAGAGGTCGGGGAGAGAGCGCAGTGCGCACAATCACGCGCCCTCACGCACGCCCACCCGGCTTGTCACTCACCTGCCTTGAGAGGCGCCGATTGGGCGGCTGCGGTGGCCCCGCCCACTGCAGACCACTCGCCTTGGGCCGAAGGTCCTGCGGCATTGCCGCTGGCTCTGGAGTCCTTTTTCCTTCATCAGAACTCGACACCCCATTCCCACCCCCGCAGCACACACTCGGAATCCTTATGAACGGCGACAGTGTCCGCAGAGGATTCCAGACTCCACTTTGGCACGGATGGCAGGCACTCCAGCCAGTGGAGCCAAGGTGCCCAGCCAGGGTCAGACCCAAACAGTGGGGCCCGATGTCCTCAGAGGCCGGAAATTTTCCATAATTCCGGGGCCTCTTTTGGACCTTCCCTGTTTATTAGCACAGACGTTTAAAAGTGACCTCATATGCGCAACAGGGTCGGGCTGCGATTTCGTTCTGGGGGAACAGCACTCAGTGACTCCTGCTCACCCTGTGCTCTCCTCTTTGTTTTTTGTTTTTGCGTTGCTGGGCACAGAACCCAAGGCCTTGCACTGGCTAGGCACTTGCTCTGTCCCTGAGCTATGACCCAGCTGTGGAAGGAAGTATCTAGTCGGTAATTTCTAAATCCCTAGGAAACTTGGAAACTTACCGGGTAAGATCCCGAGTCCAATGGATTCCTCCTAAAAGTGGTAGGAGGCGCCATACAAAATGTCTGTATGTGAACAGAAATCTTATTATACTAAGAAGCTGGGTCACAATTCCTCAAGCTTGTCTCTTGGAAGCTGTTTGCTGGGCTATAACACACAGGCTCACTGATCCCTCCTTCAGTGTGTACAGTTAGTTAGTTCACTTACACTTGCGCCGTCACCACGATTTTAGAACTTCACTATCTTCCTGGCTCCTTCTTCCAAACTCTAGACAGCATGCATCTATTTTATCTTCATACAGACTTTCCTCTTTTGGGTCTTGATATGAAAGGAACCACACCATTGTGGTCTCTTGCTTACGATTTCTTTTAAATTTTGTTTTGGTTTTTTTTTTTTTTTTTTTTCAAGACAGGGTTTCTCTGTGTAGCTTTGTGCCTTTTCCTGGAACTCGCTTTGGAGACCAGGCTGGCCTCTAACTCACAGAGATCCACCTGGCTCTGCCTCCCGAGTGCTGGGATTAAAGGCATCTTTTAAATTTTTAATTATGGTGCTGTGGTGGTTTGAATAGGAACGGCCCCCATGGGCTGATATATTTGAAAGCTTGGTCATCAGGAAGTGGTACTACTTGAGAAGCATTAGGAGGTGTGGCCTTGTTGGAATGGGTGTGGCCTTATAGAGGAAGTGTGTCACTGGGAGTGGGCTTTGGGGTTTCAGAAGCCCAAACCAGGCCCATTGACTCTTCCTGCTGCCTGGGGATCCAGATGTAGAACTCTCAGCAACTCCAGCACCATATCTGCCATTCTCCCAACCATAATGACAATGGACTAAACCTCTGAAATTAAGCAAGCCCCAAGTAAATGCTTTCTTTTATAGGAGTTGCTTTGGTCATGGTGTCTCTTCACAGCAGTACACACTGACTAAGGCAGGGGGGTACAGAGGTGCACATGAGTATGGAGGTCAAAAGTGTGCTTTGGAGATCCTCCAGTTGGACTTAACAGATGGTTGTGAGCCACCTAATGGGGGTTCTGGGAACAGAACTCTGGTCCTCTGCAAGAGCAGTGTCTGCCCTTACACTGCCAAGCCAGGTCTCCAGCCCTAGTCATCTGTAATCTGGTAACTGGCTTTATTCACCAAGCAGTTTTCTCAGGGGATATCTGTAGTATAGCAGGTTATCATGTCATTATTTTCCATGATGAATAACATTCTGCTCTATGGCACTGTACACTTACTAATTCATCATCAGTTAATATATCAGCTTTATATCTTCCTTTGTATATTATGAATAGAGATGCTATTACCCTTCAAATATGAAGTTTTCTATGGATATATAATCATATGTTCTCCTGAGTCCAGGATTCCATGACTAGCCTAGGCAACATGGCTAAACCATGTCCCTTGACAGAAGGAGACATGATTTGAAGTGTGTGTGTGTGTGTGTGTGTGTGTGTGTGTGTGTGTGTGTGTGTGTGTCTGCGTGCATGTGCGTATGAGGAAGAGGGAGAGTGTTAGGAAAATAAATGAAACCATTTTATGTAACTTAAAAACCATATATGTGACTTGGAATAATGTGATGCCTAAGCTTGCCACCAGGAAGCCCCGGGAAGAGCTAGGACCCCAGACATGCCCCTGAAGCTCGGGTCAGGCCACGCCCAGGACAGCCTTGATGATGAGCTACTGAACCAACTCCTAGGTGGTGGTGGTGTGCAAATGAACAGCCCCGAGTGCTGAGCCCTGACAGTGCGTGGCTGCTGCCCAGTGAAATGATACAAAGATTGGAACGTCAGGAATGGTCTCTAGGATGGCACCACCGTGCTCCCAAGACACAGCTTCTCTAGCCTCTTCACTGATACCTATCAGTGAAGAACTTGAGACTGTGTGTGTGGCCCTGGCCTCAGTGACCTTTGCCAGAGCTGCTGCTGGGCCCACACTCCTGTCAGCTGGTCTAGCCTAGGCTCTCAAGGACCTGCTGGACCTCCACCAGTGCCATCCTCCCAGCCTGCCACAGCGGCAGGATTTCACAGCAGATTTCACAGGTCAAGCCTGCAAGCTTCTAAAGGGTCCTCGCTGGAAAAGATTCCCCAGGGGAACCCAGCAGCAGCATCTTCTGCCCAATCATCTGTTCCCTACTTGGTAGATGTCTGTTTGACTTCTGTATTAGTATGGTATTATAAAGAATATTTGTATAGATAGACCAAGCATTTTCAAAAGACAAATCTTGTGTCGATATCCTACTTGTCAAGCACTTCACAGCCCACTGCCCATGCTCTCTGCAGAGAGGGACAAGGAGACAGAGGGGGTCGGGGAGAGAATCAGTCTAAGCTTAAAAAATAACCAAGATGGCCCTGCCCTCATTGACCTGACTGGAGTTCCCAGGTTTAGGTTATCTCAATTCTTATTATGATTACCAGTGATTCAATTCAGCTCACCTCAAAGTGTCTGTTCCCTACGCAGAATGATCCTGTTATAGAGTTCAAGACCACTGGGAAAAGACCACGGACTCAATTCAGATTATTATTTCTGCTAGCAGGGCAGCCGTCTGTAAGTCAAATCGGAAGTATTCCCCCTGAAGCACATGGGGGAATTGTTTTTAAAGGAGACCACCACAATTACTCCATTTCTGCATTATTTACAGATACGTGAGGAATTGCCTCATGCCACATGAAGTATCAGCCCCTCCCCCACCCCAGGCACAGCAATAAGTGTGTTTACTGAAGCCAGAGAGAGCAGTTCATCATTTCACAACAGTTACACAGTTTTGTAACTGGGGGGGACAAGGGGTCAGAGCTTTCAGGAGTTCATGTCAGAGGCCAATGGCTACTAAAGCGGATGCCTGGAACAGAATGGTTTCCTTAGCCTAAACAATCCAGGCTTTCAGTTTGTTTTTTTCTTTGTTTGGATGGTGGTGGTTGTTACTGTTGTTCTTTTGAGATATCAACAAATGACTTGTTGTAAACCTGTTACGCTCAGCCACAATTGAGAACAGAGCTAGTTCAGAACGCCTCAGGCCCTGAGGGCACAGGCCTAGGCAAGGCTGTCTGTCAGAGGTGTCTGGGCAATCAGCTGGTGAAGTCCAGATCCAGTGGGAAGAACTACCAGCAGTACTGGGCAGTCCAACAGCTCATGGCCCCAGCCTCTGGCCTCCCTTCCTCCTGCCGCCGCAGCCTTCGTGGACACACGAGCTAGTGCGCTTGTACGCTGCCTCATCCCTTGTTTCTTGCACTTCAGTTTACACACTCACTTCTTCCTCCACTTTGTTCCCATGGCTCAGGAGTTTCAAAGAAAACGGTGCGAAGACTGAGAGATGGTTCTGGTTGTGAGTGAGTGCACTTATCAAGCATGCAGCAAGCAAAAAATAAAGAACACTACCACTGGTCTAGAGGCGATGGGACCTGGGAGAATGGAGCCGATCAATGAGCTGGACTAAAGTCTCGTGCAATAGCCACCTTTTTTCAGAGCATCAGACAATTTATACTCTAAGGGTTAAAAAGAGTCACCTGAGTAAAGTGCAAGTGCTCTACCACTGAGCTAAATCCCCAACCCGGTCAATTCTGTGTTTTGAAGAAAGTGAGGTCACAAAACCCTTGTTTTCTTGGGGTTTTCCCATAAGCACTCAGAATTCTCCTCCCATGACTCCATTCTTAGACCATGTTCTGATAGATAGTTAGATAGATAGATAGATAGATAGATAGATAGATAGATAGATAGATAGACAGACAGGAAATCATCATCAAACTGGGTGCCCGCAACATCTGGAGGAAATCAGTGGGACGGAGTGAGATAACTCAGCAGGTAAAGGAGAAATCAACTCCTGCACATTGTCCTCTGACTTGCATGTGCACACCATGGTAAACACATGCACATGTGCACACACATGCACGCAAAACAAACAAGTGCAACTTTTAAATTTAAAAAGGAAAAGGATGGGAGGGGGAAGGAAGTGGGGACTGAGGAAGCCCCCTTGCAGCAACCAGCTGGAGTTCCCAATTGAGAGTCCTGGCAGAGCAGAGAGTTCCTCTCCAGTGAGGCTCCCAATCAGCTGTCCCCACACAGGCATGTTTATGTTATGGGAGAGACAGTATCTGGGTCTTAAGTTTCAGGAAGCTGCTGGCAGTCCTGGAATGGGTCACTGGCCAGCTGCTCTCCAGGGCACACTGTCCTCACTTGCTCACTGGCGCTGCTGTTTTCAGGGGTACAGTGTTTTCCTCTTGGACTGTTTTGCTGTTCTCTCCTTCTTATCACTGTTAGGGGGCTAGCCCACCCCAGGACAGGGAGTTTGGAAGGACACTTGAAATAAACAAGCTGGAGTCTAGGACAAGGGGGCCTTCCGTGCCCCCACAGTCTGATGTCAACAAGCACCAACAGCAAATGGCAACTCATCAATATAATTTAGATTACACCATCCAATACAGGAAATGTTGTCTCATATCACCGAGTAATAATGAATTTACCTGCAAAAACTTAAGTTGCCGCCCACAAGCCCTTTTGCATTTTCCTCTTCCTAATGTAGCCGATTCACTTCTGGTCTGTACCTGTTAATATTCCTACAACTCATAGCACGGCTCTCCTTGAGGACAGGCATGATGCATTAAGTATTATGACAGATAAGCAATTGGTTGGGGGCTGTGTGATCATTCATTAAGTAAAGGTGCTTGCCACCAAATCTTATAACCTGAGTTTGATCCTCCAGACATACATGGTAGGAGGAGAGAACCAAATCTGGCAAGTTGTTTTCTGACCTATACACACACACACACACACACACACACACACACACACACAAATAAATAAATAATAAAATTTTAATTTGTTTTATGAAAAATAACACAAGTAAGCAGTAATATAATAAAATACAATGTTGTATAAACACATTAATATTGCTTAGCTTGAAAAAATTACAATCTGAAAATGTATAATTGCAATAAAGAAATTTAGTATATCCTTAAAGGAAAGGAGAAGGATAACCCTTGAGTTAGTAGAGATTATCTGGGAATGGTTAATGAAGTGCTTTTGGGAAAGCTCTAGAAACACTTAGACAAAAAGCGGCATGCAGTTTTTAATCCCAAACCATAAAACATACCTGAAAACATTCTGAGGAGAGAGAACAGTGGCAGGCAGGCTGGGGACCGGCTCATCTTACAAGCACATGTCGCGCGCGCGAGCATGAGGAGCTGAGTTTAAATTCACGTGGCAGAGCTGGCTGGCTGGACGAGGTTGGTGAGCACTGTGTCTGGGCTCTGGGGGATGGGATCAGAAGACTAGACTGCCTGCTAGTCACGTGGCACTGACAATTGAAGCCCACAGGGAGGCAAATTTTCCTCCTTGGCAAAATTTCATCCTCTAGGAAAGCTAATGGGGTCCTTCCTCAGT